ACTGCAGGCACCCTCCGCATCCGGACACTATATGTCCATTTTGCGGCCATGGGCGCTATACTGAATGCATGCTCTTTTGTGGTGACCGCTCTTCTTTCATTTTGGCCTGCAATCGACATGCCATTTGTCGGGGGTGTATGGCGGGCATGCTCAATGCCACCCGTCGTGGCAATTGTTGCACTGAGAATGCTCAGCTAGGTCTTCCATGTGTTCATCCACGTTATCCTTACAATGTATGTCCTCTCTGTCGTCAAGGACAGACTCATTCTTGAGCCTTTCCTTATCCTCTTTTGCCTTCATCTTCACTCCACACTCCATACTTTCCCTTACTTTCCCTTTATTGTTCTTTGTTTGTCTGCTCTCCATCTCTCCTCCCTGTGTGTACCCCCTCCCCCTTCACTCTGCCTCTTTCTCACAGCGTACAAGTGGGCTGTTATGGCACATGGGGATGGGGGCAGCTCGCGCTCAACTTCATCAACGTGGCGAGCCTTGTACGTGAGAGGCACGGTGAAAGGGGAGTCAAAAGAAGAATGAGAAAAATGAAAGGTTTCACTGTGCCCTTCATGTTTGTCCTGTTTTTTTTTTTGTTTTTTTTTTTTTTTTTTGCCGTTTGTTTCGCAAAAATTGCGGTCTTTTAGTTCATAGTTATATGACAATATATATGTATATTAACATGACAGGAAGTGGTACTCTGCTGACAGGTGCAGTATTCCTGGAACTGGTTGCCCTGCTGTCGCCTGCCATTTTACATGTTGTGAATGACCCTCATGTTGGTGGTTCTCTTTGTCAATGACGGAGAGAGAATGAATAGGGAGGGAAAGTAATCAGATATCAGATATATTCATATTATTATTTAATATTTAATCATCTCTTGCATTTTACTCCTCACCTGTGAGCTCTACGTCATAGGCTTGTCCTTATTGCTGTCATTTCAATTTTATTCTGGAACCCTGTCATGAACCAGGGAGAAAAGTGCATGAGGTGCTAAGCTACTCATTACGAGTTATTACTGAAGAATAGGTGCAAAGTTCCAGCAGGTGATGCTCCCCACCAATAGATGGAGCCTGCCTGGGGGTGCTAGCGGTGTCTGCTCTTATCAGCACCCCTAGCACAACCCAAGGTCAAGTTAAAAAAAAAAAAAAAAAAAAAAAAAAGTGTTGTTGTGGATGCTTGCAGGGGTGCTCAGATGGGAACATGGTGCATCGTAGCAATATTGTTTTGTCTTCAAATCATGCAGTCATTGTGTATCCCTGGTAGTTTTTCTTACTTAGAGCTAGGTTCTGACTCTAGTTACTTTGTGAGCGGATTAGCATGTTCAGGCCAGGAAGGTTTTTCCTGCTGGGCAGCATGAGCTAAGACATAGCAACCGAAGTCGCAAGCTCGATGAGATTAGAGTGAAGACACTACAAGATGTTAGTATGAAATATTACGAATACTCACGACGATGTTGCCTGTTGCATCTATTGGCGTCATCACGTTTACATTTGGCGATGGCGTATCTAAGAGCACCGTAGGAAACTTCGTCAAAATGCGCAAAACATGAAGCCAGAACACCAAGCAATCCAGCAATCATAGCAGAATGTTGAGCCACTCCATTCTGACCAATTATGACAAGCCAATCAAGGGATAGGATAAGCAAGCAATGTAAAAAAAGAGAGAGAAAAGAAGAGAAGAGAAGAAAGAGTAAAGAAGAAGAAGAAGAAGAAGAAGAAGAAGAAGAAGAAGAAGAAGAAAAAGAAGAAGAAGAAGAAGAAGAGGAGTAGGAGGAGGAGGAGGAGGAAGAAGAAGAAGAAGAAGAAGAAGAAGAAGAAGAAGAAGAAGAAGAAGAAGAAAGAAGGACAAATGGAATCAAACCAAGAAGAGAGCACAGTGATATCCTTGAAACCAAGCGATTAAACGAAATGAATACACATGAAGCTCAAACTGCCGCTCTCATCTGGCCAAGCGAACATGGAAGACGCAAATGCGTCAACCGGTACCCTGACCAACTAAGGAGCAACATACATCAGCTGTGCCCGGCATGTTTCAATTGTCGCTGATCTCCAGTCATCCTCAAGGGGCATGACAAAGGTTCAAGATGGGACTCATCGTACTCTCAGAGATTTAAATAGGCCTTCTGGAAAGGAAATACTGACATACAGATAGAAGGACATGCAACACTTAGCTCGTGGAGTAGTTGTCGAAGTGCCACTGCTGATGATCGTCGACGGAAATCTGCTCGAGGGCTTGGAAGGAGGAATATAATCCAGTTGTAGAGCCAAGATGTGCCGCCCACAGTACCTGGCCGTTTAAAAAGTCGTGCAATTTTTTTTGGGCGGTGGGTGTCTTCTGCGCTCGCTGAGAGGTGCCTAAATCAGGGCTGTTTCTTTTTCTCTGTGTTATCCGTTAAGTTGGGGGGAAAGGGGGTTATAAATGGGTTCTAATGGTGCTTACAGGGGTTTGAAGGGGGTTGCCTTACTCCGTTTTTTTAAAAAAATCTTCTATTCGTTAAGGAAGTTTGAGGTGACTGCAATAACTCGGCTCAAATCTGCATAAGCTGTGGGCTCTAGGCCGTCACTTTGGTCAAAGGCCCAACACAGGGGTCAAAAGTCACGTCCCAAGCCCTCTGCGTCCATTATTCGACTTCCCTGACCCTTTCCCATTATCATCCTTGTGCTTGGTTCCTTTGAGTTGGTATGGTTTAGGGTAAGCAAGTGATCTTGATCTTAGGAATAGTTAACGGTGGTAATGCAGGAGGATAATATCTGGCGCCCCCGGCACGAGGGTGAAGAGGTACCAACTATTGCCTAGTTATCTTGTAAATGGGACGCTGGACCCGGTTTCCAGCAGGTGCAGCTCCCCACCAATAGATTGGAGCCATCTACTACTAGGAGCCTACCATCAGGGGATGCTCGTATCACCTCTGATGGCAGGCTCCAGCAGATGTTTTGGAAAAAAAAAAAAGAGCCTGGGCAAAGGCCTGAGGGCAAGGGGTACCCAGGGGAGGGCCAAAACCAGCATTCAGAGGCCCTATGAGGAACAGTTGACTTTGAGAAAGTCAACGGTCAACCCCAGCACGGGAATCCAGGCCCAAAGTCAACACGCTGGTCAGCCCCGGCCGTAGATCAGATGTGCATCATTAGTTGTCTGCAGGTATCCAGAAGAATCCGGTCCAAGTGGGACACATGGGAAAGCTGCAACTGTACAGCATCTAGGCCATGGGCTTCCGATTGATCTGGTCCGTCGACCCCAGGAGACCAGAGGCTGGTCAACGCGAGTCAACAGTATAAGTTGACCCAGCCCCTGTTTGGAGATCATTCTGCCTTGTGCATTCTGCATTGCGCTGGCTTGTTGCTGGTGCGACGACACAAGGCTGCTGGAGCTTTATGCTGGCACCGGGTTCTGAGTGTGGACGCCAGCCTTGAGGGAGATTATCCTGATGTGGCCGTCGACCTCAGGAGACCAGAGGCTGGTCAACGCGAGTCAATAGTATAAGTTGACCCAGCCCCTGCTTGGAGATCATTCTGCCTTGCGCGGGCTTGTTGCTGGTGCGATGACGCAAGGCTGCTGGAGCTTTATGCTGGCACGAGGTTCTGAGTGTGGGCGCCAGCCTTGAGGGAGATTATGCTGATGTGGCCATAGCCGCATTGATTTCGGCATTGACAGGAGTGTGGGCAAGGAGGAGGAAGATCTGGACTGTGAGATTGGTGCGTGTTCTGAGGAGAAGCTTACCTGGACTTACCTGTGACGTCGCGTGTACTTTGCTGCTTGTCGCCAAGAGGAAGATCTGCGCCATCCTCCTTGTTTGCTGCTGACGTGGATGGAGGATGGGCGCCTTGTTGTGACCTGTTCGTTGTTTATGTCAGAGATCGTCAGAAGAGAACTGTATTGCTGATGTGGCAAGTGAGGGAGATGCCCGAGGAGGAAGTGGGCTTGAGGAGGGACTTCTGCCTCGTTGATTCTTGTGGAAACTCTCCTCCTCCTCCTCTCAGTCTCTTCGCCCCCTCTCCTCACTCTCTTCTCTGAGGTTTGAGACATTGGAGATCGCATGTACTTTGGGCATGGTTACAGACATTATAGCTGCGCTGAGTCAGACTTGTATTTCGACATTCATGAGCTTCTCATTTGTCTGGGTTCATTGCATGACCCTCGGACAAAACAAAAAAAAGTCGTTTGCATTGCTACTCTACTGAACTTTTTTCCCCATAATTTTTTGTTTGTTTGTTTTTCATTTTTCTCTTATGCGCTGGGGCGGCCAGCAACCCCGCCAGGATGTCGTGCCCGACCAGGCATCCGGGCATGTGTCCAGGCACCACTTGGTGGCCCGGGCACTTGGATTTTCTTCCTTTCCATTACGTCTCTTTCTTTTTTTCCCGAACCTACTATTTTTTAAATGCAGGTAGTCACTAACATTTGGGCGCTTTGAACTTTTAGCCCATTTATTAACAGTGACATTGTGTATCATTGAGCCACTGATGAGGCACATGGTCCTGTGTCTGTTTGTTTATCTGGCTGCCTGTTTGTCTGTTTGCCTGCCTATATGCCCCTTTCCGTCTGTTATTGGGTCTACCAAACACTGGAGGGGCAGTATTCTGCACTTAAATACAACTTCCACCCTCAATGGTCTTTTGTCGAACCCAGGCTTTTGGTCGCGGGTTCGCCCTGTGCCCTCATCAGTAGCCATTTCCCAAATGCATTCACAGCATACTTGTATATGGCCACAATCTCCGAAAGCCATCAGAGGCAGTAGTGGTTTAAGACTTTGTTGAAATTTGTGAGCTCCATTAACTATGGATATATTTGTTTCACAAATTGCGCTCTTTAAGTTCATAGATCTGTGACGAATAAATTAGATCAGCCTGTGATATTAGCTAATTTACAAATCAACACTACTTCTGACAATTCTTCTTGACAGGGTAACTTTTGGAAGCAACAGTACAGGAAGATGGGCATTCAATTGACCATGCTGCCCCCCACATCCATTGGGTACGACGTTCCACAAGATATTGCCATAAGGTAAAATGACGAATATCACATGGAAAGTTGGCTACAGCAACTTTTTTTACTTGGGTTTGTTTTTCCATCTTGGTAAGACTTCTCCTACTGTTATCTAACTATTCTATGCACTCATACCACTGCTGCCAGTAGACCAAATAGAGGTTTAATTCATGGAGGCTTCCTTTTGCACCTATTTTTCACTAGTAAGTTAGTAACTTAATAAGTAGCTTAGTAGTCATGAGGTCAGGACTGACTACAGTGAAAACCTAAAAAAGAAGAGGGCTTATGAATGACGGCTTAGAAGTTTAGATATGTATGAAGTCAAAACAACCTGGGAATAATGAATTGCCCATGGGCGATGGCCATAACGTCTTTGGGCATCAAACAATGACCATCACGGTTCCCAAAGTCAGACCCAAGACCCCCCAACCACATGCCGCAGATGTGGTTGTGGTGGCTGTGCCCGAAATAACTAGATCTAAAGTAATATTAAAAGTAGTAAGAATACTAGCGCCACACCCTGTAGTGGCCATGGCAGAGAAGGGGGGTGAAAAGAAAAGGGTCGGACGCCTGCGCTCTTGGGTTGATGGTAAGAGGAGGACCGAGGTCCACCATACAGCTGCAATTGAACAGCTGAAGTAGTGCAGTTTGGATCCAACAATATGGTGGGCAGGTACAAGTACAGCCATCTGTAATGACCTGCCAAACACAGACTGAGACACACAGCTGATTTCTTAGGTTTGCTCATGGAATGTATGCCTTGCTGAGTTTCCCGCCTGTTGCTGAGTTTTCTAAGTCTGTGTGTGTGTGCTTGCTGGTCTGCATGCCTGTCTGAGTGCTTGTCGGCAGTAGCCGCCTCTCGCTTGAGTGTGTGTGTGACCTGCAAGGGCACTCGTTCGTTCAGAAGGCCCGAAGGGCCGGTACTTACCTGGGGCCGTGACATTAAGGGTTGCAGCGGGGAAAACACTCAAGTGGCGGGGAAAGAGGCCCGCAACACTTAGAGCAGCGGAAAACACTCAAGTAGGAGGTAGGCCGGTACCGCACCAAGTAGAGGTAGATGTGCCGGGTACTCGAGGCTGAGCAGAAGAAGACAAAAGCTGGCAGTTTAGAGGCCCAGTAGTTGTAGGCTAGGTCTAGGCAGGTACCAGTCCAACCAGTCTGAGTCTAGGTCCTGTACGGGCAATATCAGAGTCTGCAATGACGTTTCCCTCCGAAAGGGAGGAGGTACCGGTTGCTTGGAGGCCGCGCGGCCTAGGAAGTCACTCGCCAAGAGGCAAGCAGGCCGCTATATCTCCATGAGGAGCAAAGTGCTCCTCCTCATCGTTGGTGTGCAAGTTTGGCGACTAGCGCTGGCTGGAGCAGCACTAGCACAGAGCTGCGCTGCTGGGGAAGGAGCAAGAACAGCAGGAGGGAGACAAGGACTAGGAGGGGAGCGCCAGAGTTACTTACCTGGCTATGGTTGATGCCATCTTCATCACCTTGGTGGGTGCTGCATCTGGAAGGCCCCAGTTGGGGTAGAGCTACACCAAAAAGCTTCGAGGCAGAGTCAGGCATGGCGGCCTGAGCTAGAGCAGCCATAGCTGCTTTGTGTTGTCCTTTGCACAGCAGAGAAGTGCCCTGGTAGTCCACCATAGCCTCGGGCGTGGAAGGAGGAAGGAGGGTGGCCATGGCTATGGTGGACCTCATGTGATACCTGCAGTAGAAGAGGGATTCGGACATTGATTCTGGTTCAGCCATTCAATTTTAATAAGAGGGGAGAGTGCTGCACGTTGGTCTTTGACCATGTGAGAGTGGAAGGAGAGGAATGGCGGGAACAGTTCAAGCAACATTTTCAATTAGAACTTTCACGACAGTGGGGGGAAACCAAACGGGTTCTTGATTCCCTCCACAGAAAAAAGGACATTATGGAATGGATTGCAAGGTTTTCCAAAGATTGGTTAGGTGGGGAACAAGGGGGATGGGTGGCAGAGGTGTGATGGTTAGGGTGTGAGTCAGAAGGGAGGAAACCTCAAAAGGGACCTCCCCCGGGACTGCCGCCTTCTGTTTGAAAACTGGATGGAGATTGGCCCAGAACCCCCCATGAGACCAGCAGAAGACTTTCCGGACCCCTTCCCACCACACCCGTTGGCCCTTGAGATTAGAATATGACCTTCCCGTTTCAAGTGAAAGTGCAAACTCAAGCCCTTTGGAGTTAAAATCCTCGTCTTTTCGTAAAATGGGCATAACCGGGAATGGGTAGAGGGGCGGGTAAGGAGACGAAGTGTGGCATTCTGCGCAGCCACACGGGCCTGCAAGGCCCGACCAGCGTTTTCAGCCTAAAAGCCTGAAAACAAGGGCTTACAGGCCCTGTGTCGTTTCAGCCTGAAAGCCTGAAAACGAGGGCCTTCAGGCCCTATGTCGTTTCAGCCTAAAACAGGGCCCTCCAGGCCCTGAGTCTTTTCAGCCTGAAACGGAGGGCCATTTTCAGGCCCTCRTAAGATCGACCTGCCCTGAAACTTAGGCACCAGACCAGGGTTTTAGCACAGGCCATTTTTGGCCTGTTTTCAAGACARCCCWTGDTTGAACTTCAAYRCCAGGGTCTGVCACRTTTTGGCATTGGCAAGAGCAGCCTCCTGGACGGGCCAGCACTATATAAGACTGGCCCGCCCTACAGGCTGCAGACAGTCACGAGGTAGTTCATAGGAACTTCCCAGGCACTTCAAGTGCAGGAGGCAGGGGGCAGTCTTCAGGATTCGGCAGCAGCACTCTGGAGGAGCGCTGCAGTAGTAGTAGCCTTAGCAGTAGTCTTCAGCGCTGGGCGCTATTAAGAGCTAGAGTAGCGTTGGAGAGAGAGAGATGGTTAGCGGAGGCCAGGGGGACTTACCTGTGGCGCCATAGCTCCAGCTTCGTGTTCGATGTACCTGCAACAAGGCGCCACCTTCACAGGTTAGTACGGGACTGAGAGAGAGAGAGAGGGTTCTTCTTCTTCCTCTTCTAAGTCCACCATCTCTTCCTCACCCTCTCGCTATCTGACTTCTCAGTATCTGCAGACTACGAGAGAGAGAGATTGGTGACTTTGGGACTTGACGACATTTGGATCCAGACTCGACTTTGGGATTCAGACATTTGACGAGGGATTATTTGGGACCTGTACCGAAGATTTGGTGTTGACGACATTCCCATCTTCCCCTCTTCTTCGTCTAACCCCCCTCTTCTTCGTCTGTGTATGGTTGCGGACTGGCGCATTCTTCCTGTGTGAGCGCCAGGCCCCTTCACACCATGGAATGATGATGATGTATGTCTGGCCTGCATGGCAACATTGATTGTTTGGATCATTGGTATTTAAGCCTTCCGCTGTGCTATCTTGTACTATGTGAGAGAGGTTGGTTCTTGTTCTGGTCTGCACCTTTACGGTATGCGACCGTTTGGTATCGGAGCGGACCTCTCAATCAGAGGATCTGCCCAATCAACTAGACAGCTTGCTTGATCTATTGATTGTTGATTGATTGATTGATTGATTGATTGATTGATTGATTGATTGATTGATTGACTGATTGATTGATTGATTGATTGATTGTTTATTAGTAAATCAAGTAGGACTTCGTCAAATCTCTGCAATTTTTTTTTTCTTTCTCGCAACAAATATCTGAAAATTTCTGATAATAGCATTTCGTTTTCTCTGAAAATTTCTGATTTTAGCATTTCGTTTTCTAGGCATATTAGGAAAACGATAGAGGTTGTCATATTCTCGGAGACTGGAAGTATTCTTCTCTGAAAGTGGAACCTCCACTCTATTTAGCGCAATTTTAGCAGATCGACAGATATACAAAAAAACAGGGGGGGTTGATCCTCTTCTTTTATTTTTTATTTTTATTTTATTCTGTTGATCAGGACCGGGAGGAAAGTACAGTTTGGTTGGTTCCCTTCCTGCGTTTTCCCTCCCACCCAACCCTTTGCTGCATTCTCGGTTTGGTAGTGCCACGTCCGCAGTGCCATGTCATCAACACTGCCACATCAGCAGTGCCACGTCAGCAGTACCATGTCAGCAGTACCATGTCAGCAACAGTGCCACATCAGCAGTGCGCTGCCACCATGACGGTCTCAGTTTTGGGCATGCCAGGCCAACTGGCCAATGAGTCCATTGCCGAGCACCGACAGCGGTTCCAGGCTCAGCTCGCTGTTACATCTTCGACGCCACACGGGTCCTACCGGACCCGACTTAGGGCTAGAGGGACACATCAGGGCCTAAAGGCCCGACCTTGGGGGATAACAGGGCGAAAGGGCACGACTTGGACCCGACTACGGACCAGGCCCAAATGACATTTCGTCTTTGGGCCTGACGGCGCCATTTGAGGCTGCCACTCTCCGGTTGGACCTGAATCGTCGATCTGGACGGTTCAGCCCCAACCAAGGCCTCGCAGCAGTGAGGCCGGTCCTCTTCGAACCAGTACTTAGTACTGGTCCGGCCTCACTTCGAAGCATCGACCCACCGGCACTCTACGCGGTGCGGTAAGGTCGGCGCCAGAGCGCCGTTTGAGCGCTATTCTGAGCGCAGGAGGAAGGACAGCAGCAGCGCGAGCTAGCGCAGCGGCAGCAGCGAGGACAGCAGCACAGCACGGCGGCCATCGCCGGCTCAGCAGCAGCAGGGCAGGTACCAGGAGGCGAGGATCTCTTCCTCCCTCCACGGTCCCGTTCCCCTCCTCCTCACCTCCGTTCTCTCTCTCTCTCTCTCTCTCCCTCTTCAGACTCCTTCTTCTTCTTCTTCTTCTTCTTCTTCTTCTTCTTCTTCTTCTTCTTCTTCTTCTTCCTCTTCTTCGTCTTCTTCGTCTTCTTCTTCTTCAGAGTGGAGACTTATACTAGTTGGACCGAGATCAGTGTTGGACTTCGGTGGTATGAGACTGTGGTACTTACCGGATTGGAGACTTGGAGATCGTTGGGGTTGATACTTGGCGACATCACAGTTCAGACACCGGTTACATTTGGACTCTGTATCCCCGACATTGGTGACCTATGGTGCTCGACATTTTGATCTTGTTGGATGACATTTTGGACTACCATATCGGTGACCTATCAGATTCTACCTCGGTGACTTTCGGTGCTGTCTACCTTCCCCCACCTCTTCGTCTCTCCTCCCCCATTTCATCTGTGTATGATGTGTACGGGGCTGAGCATCCTCTCTGTATGGCTCAGACCCCACCATCTCACGATTGTATGTGTGTGGAGTGATGCTATGTGAGTCAGTCTATGTGAGTCAGTCTATGTGAGTCAGTCCGTTTATCAGACTTCCGTT